TACATGTATAGATGTATATATATTTTTTGTATAAAATTTTGAGTGTGTTTGACCGCAATCTCAGCTGATGTTAAGTGATGATGTGGTCTAAGCAATTACACGCGAACTCAAATAATGCCTTCACTCTTGATTTGAAAGACCCAATGTTGTAAGAGGCAGGAAAATTAGACGCTGGTAGAGAGTTCCACTCCTTAGCTGCTCGCATAAGGAAAGATGATGCAAAACGGTAGGTTCGAGCAGCTGGGATGTCAATAGTGTATAAGTGGAGCCGCTCTCCACGTCTTGTTGTACGTTGATGGAATGGTGCTGGAGGAATGAGGTTGTGCAGTTCTTGAGCACATTCGCCAAAATGGAGCCTATAGAACACCGTCGATGATTAAGACTTTGAAGCCTCTTAGCCGCAAGTGATTTGTATAATCTTATATATAAAATTCTCGTGTCACAGTTTTCGTTCCCATACTCCGAAACGGCTTGACCGATTTTCATGAAGTTTTGTGAGCGTATTGAGTAGGTCTGAGAATCGGCAAACATCTATTTTTCATCCCCCTAAATGTTAGGGGTAGTCCACCCCTAAATTTTTTATTTTATTTTAAGGCAAAACAACGTTTGCCGACTAGCTGTCCAGATAGTCTTATATATAAAATTCTCGTGTCAGTTTTCGTTCCCATACTCCGAAACGGCTTGACCGATTCTCATTTCATCCCCCTAAATGTTAGGGATAGTCCGCCCCTAAATTTTTTTTTTTATTTTAAGGCAACGATTGCCGGGACAGCTAGTTTCTGCAGCAGCCTACTAACATGTGCGTTGCCATGTCCGCAAAACATAATAAAAAATAAAGTTAAAAAAAATCTAAATTAACAGAGACATTAACGTAACATTGCATTTTTATTTCATAAATATAATAAATATCTATCTACCATCCCTCAAATCCTCGATCAGGTTTCAGGATCAGGCTCGTCTGTCGATTGCGTCTAGATAGTACAGATAAATCTACCAAATTTAGCAATAATAATTCAATGTAGTCACAATGGAAATTTATTTTCATATATTCATTACATTAAACGTAAATAAGACACGTTACAATACAATTATTACAAAAAGTCACAATCTTTAGTCGTCAGATAATATTACAATAAATTGTCAAATAAATTCACGCTGCAAGAATGTGTATGGAGCATACATAAGATTCTGTACGTACATACATGTTCCATAACGAACTAAAACTTTAGCCATACAATAACTATTGTTACTTAAGTCATTAGTTGATCTGACTATTTTATATTTTCAGATAGTTCTTTATTGTATCAAAAATATTAACAATATTTTTATATGCATTTTGTTGTATGATTAACATTTTAATTCGTTACATATGCACTTACTACATAATCTGCAATAAATGCAGACATTATTTTTATCATAATATAATAATCTCAGTACAATTCACACAGCGCCATCTAGACCCAAGTTAAGCTAGCTACAGCTTGTGCTATGGGTACTAGATAACTGCTACAAATACATATATTTTTTTTGGGAAATATATACATATGTATTATATGTAGAAAACACCCAGACCGATACAAACAATCATATTCATGAATACAAATGTTTGTGCCGTGCGAGGAATCGAACCTGCGATCATCGGATGTAAAGCGGTGCGCTAGACCACCGAGCTCGTTAAAATTATATATGAATATAATCAGACAATCAGGAATTTGATATCAACATAAAATATTTAAGTACAATCAGAGTCATTAAATATAGTCCTAAAACTACCACAAACTCGATGATAAATCTCAATCGATCACACTATAAATCCAGTTACACTAGCATCCATGATCTTCTTTGATGTATTGAGCTGCCTTCTCGGCTATCATGATAACCGGGGCATTTGTATTACCTCTTGTAACTTTCGGCATAACACTAGCGTCTACAACTCTCAATCCACTGAGTCCGTACACTTTCAGTCTCGAGTCTACCACAGACCCCATTGCTGCAGTTCCAACAGCGTGCCATGCGGACATCGCCATTTCTTTAGCTTTACACGCCAATTCATCAGTTTTATTCATATTCGCACATTCTTCAATATTAATATCCACAACATGTGCCTTTTTCTGACTAAAATACGAGGTATTGACTATGGAGTAAGCAATATTTATAACTTCAGGGTATCCACTCAAATCATCAGGATGGTTGAACGTCCCCGAATATATCAGAGGTTTCTCTAATGCATCTGTTGAGTTCAATTTTACTTCACCTCTAGATTTTGGCTTTAGAAGAACAACAGCTAATGTCAAAAGCTCGTAGTCCTTGTTCTTTTTAGTTAAAGTGTCACAGATGTTGGAATTGAAACCAAGGATGTTGACGCAGCCGTCATAAAAGTTACTGTCTATAGGCATGCAGGTGGGGTAGATGGCAAAGTCCGGGACATTTGTGTCGTTGGTTAGTGAAACGTAAGCGCCCATACTGTTTGAAAAAGAGAAAGTTCCAGATCGATCATACAGGTACTTGATCGTATTCATATACAGATCTGGCAAGCCGGTGTAACATGTGCCGTTTTCAGCTGCCAAGTAAGTCAGCACCATTATGTGGTCGTGGAGGTTGCTGCCGACTGGTAAATCTTTCACTACCTCAATATCCATATCATTTAAATGAGATGTCGGGCCTACACCCGACAGTAGCAACAATTTCGGTGTATTAAAGGTACCTGCAGACACTATAACCTCAACGTTCGCGAAGAAATGAAATCTTTCCGTATTATTTAGAAGTACCTCTACACCGTGCGCTTTATCATCTTCAATTAGTATTTTTGTCACAAACGCATTTTTAAGTACACGCAGATTTGGTCTGCTACCAGCTTTATTTAAGAGAGAAGTTGAAGAACTGTCACGCCGTCCATCTCTAATTGTGTGGGAGAATCTTCCCGCGCCAATGACTTCGGGAAACGTCATATCTTGTACAATATTGAAACCTAACTCTTTGAATGCATCGAGAAATCTATCGGTGTCGTGTGTTGACTCTTTTAGACCCGTTACTTCAATCTCTCCGTGGGTGCCATGGTAGCTCATAAGTTTTGGATCATTGATGATATTTTCGTCAGTCATGTGTTCCGTCTTCTTGAAAAATTGGAGGACTTCTGCCCAGCTCCAGTCTTTGCCGACCAGATTGGCCCACTCGTCGAAGTCTGCCGGGAATCCTCTAGCATACACCATGTCATTGATGGATCCGCTGCCACCTAACATCTTGCCGCGCGGCTGCCGCTGGCTACCACCTCTCAACGCTTGACTTGAATGGTGGTCATTCACAGTGGTGAAGTTCCAGTCATAAACACTACCCTTCATTGTATTTCTAAAACCTGGAATCTGAAAAAATACTTATTTAGTTTATTATTCACTAATAATTAAAATCATACCTACTCGATATTAAAATTATTGAGTGTTCAATAAATTATTCCTAACATTAATTTAATTAATTGTTAATTGTAATATTCACTATAAATTACTTATTTAACTATTTTAAATTTATGGGACAGAAACGAGGTTTTCCCACAAGACTACAGCATGGGGTTTTTCAAGAATATTAAGGGTATATTAAGGTTTCTTAAGGGTCGGCAACGCGCACGTGACACCCCTGGTGTTTCAGGCGTCCATAGACTACGGTAACCGTTTACCATCAGATGGGCCGTTTGCTTGTTTACCTTTAATACCAATCTTATAGAACATTACATTTTAATTCAAAATATTAAATATACAGTAGTTTGGACTAAGTAAATAAGTCGTAGATCAGAGCAAGATATAGGTGCACTGTGTGACAGATGATGTAGCAAGGAAGAGTGTAAATAACGAAAAGACAGAAAGAATGGAAATGAAAGGGAAAAACTAAAAGCACATATATACATATAAATAAAATTGGAGTCTGTTTGTAATATTGAAATAACCATTTTTTACTACATGCATACGAATATAAATACGGTACATACACCAAAATAACATTTTTTACAATTTTTGTCTATCTATCTATTGTTCCTGATCTCTGAAATGGCTGGACCGATTTTGACGGGACTTTCATTGGCAGGTAGCTGATGTAATAAGGAGCAACTTAGGCTACTATTATTTTAGAAAAATAAAGTTAAATTTCACGCGGACGAAGTCACGGGTACAGCTAGTAAGCAATAATAAGATTATAGTAATAACAATATTAGAGTAAACCAGTCCCAACGAGCGCAATGACGAATGAATGAATGAATGAATGACGAACATTGTTGCACTTAATCACATTTTAGGGAAGCCAGTGTGGCACAGCTACCTGGTCACAAAGTTAATATAGAAATGGATAACTAACAATACTCTCTTGCGGGGGATCTCCGCCCGCCTCCAATAGCAGCACGTTGAATTTTTTGACCTCAGACAGGCGCGCGGCCAGCACAGAGCCAGCGGTTCCACCGCCCACTATGATGATGTCGAATGATGTCCCATCTGTAAAGAGTTAATAAAACAATCTATAAATCTCGCCTAACAAGGGGAAAGGGGATTGTTACTGATGTGGACTGATGATCTTATTGCTAGCAATGTACCATGTCAGGTTGACTTCCACGTGGTTCCCCCTGAGAACTATCGTGATAAATTCATGATGATTTACCACGATGTGCTAACCTGACCTAACCTCGTGCTCATATTATCATACTCCACTGGTGCCCCGCCAGCGTAAATCGTTTGCGCAGGCGGGTGCACCATTTCATTATCATATACAAAAATAAAGAATTATATTAAAAAATATCTATGTATTTGTATCAGTTGTCTAATACCCAACAGAATCTTTAGCTAGCTTAACTTGAATCTAGATGGCGCTGTGTGAATTGTCCTGAGATTATTATTATTACGTACTGTCCAGAACGGCTTGCGGTGGCCACGGCTCGGTGAGCAAGCACTGTGATGCTGCAAAGAACTGCAGCGCGGCCGCGACGGTGGCTCCCACGGAACTACCACTGGTGGTGCAGGTGTCCACCAGCCGGCTGACCATCATGATAACTGAAATATAAAAGTCAGTTTTTTTTTACTTTCTTTAAGTAAAAAACGCACTCAGAACACTTCATACACGACGGCCTCGGTGGTCTAGCGGTTTACATCCACTTTACATCAGATGCGGGTTCGATTCCTCGAACGGCAAAATATTTAAATAAAAAATATTCATAAAAGTTTACGTCGTAGTAACATATGTTCTTAAAAAACACAAATGGAGAAGAATAATGAAGAATACCAGAATCGACGTGTACTGTATGTGTGCTACTAGCTATGGCCGCGATTTCGCCCCCATAAAATTTACAGCTTATATGCTATTCTTATTTATAAACTATATTACTGTAAAATTTCATCCAAATCTATTCAGTAGTTTTTGTGTGAAAGAGTAAGTAATCCATCCATCTGTAGGTACTCACAAACTTTCGCATATATACTATTATTAAAATAACACCTTCTCTATGAGAACCAGTAAATAAACTCTCAATCATAAAAATTTCTGTCAATTTTCATAACTACACATACATTACTAATCTATTAAGATATACCCATACAATGACAGTACACAAAAAAACTGTAAAAATATGTGTATAAGAATTTATAATTGTATTCCTGAGACATTGAAGACGAATAACAAAATATTATTTAAGAAGACATTACTATGGTTAAAAAATAAGGAATATTACAGTTTAAAGATTTTTTTGACAATATATAACTATCATTCAAGACACCTATATAAAAATACATTGTAAATAAACTGGCTTTAAAAAAAAAAAGTAATTCAATTGAGTTTCTTGCCAGTTCTTCTCAATTGGATCTATATACCGAACTGGACGGTAGGGAAAAAAATTATAATATAAAAACTTGACGTTCATAAGCAGCTAAAATGTCCTACATGAATAAATGATTTTTGAATTTGAATTTATCGACTAGAGAGATCCTATTTAACTATTATTATTATTATTTTATATACATATATTTTATATATCTCCCTTTTTACAGGGATAATACATTCAAATACCCCGCGTGTTTGAATGTATTACCCCTGTAAAAAAATGCCTTAGCCAAGAGTGGATGAGTATTATTTTTTTTTTTTTCAAAAATTCCTCCCCTCTTAAGGATAGGAGATGGCAATTTATTATTATTATTATTTCTCATATATAGTATAGTTAATTATGTATAATTTTTAAACAATACTATTTTTGCATGCCATTACTATAGCAGAACAAATGATACTAAACTTTCATTATCATCTTTTATACTGTGTTTTTTGAGCAAATAAATTATTATTACTATTATTATTATTATATAAATACACGTACCCAGTTACACGTTTATTTTCCACTTATGAACATATAAATCTTTTAGTGCCTATTAAATATAGGACAAAAAACTTATATAACTTTTGTCACGGTTATTCACAATTGTACGCAATATTTATTTATTATATCTTTCAAAAACGTTTACACCAACACAATCTCATTGTATATATATAATTCTAAATAAAACTATATATTTACATATAATATCTTTAGTCGAGGTGATACAATGCGTGTTTTGCAGTATCAATGATGGAACGTAGAAAAAAACTAAGAAAGCGGGTAGACTTTATGATTTGTTGCCTGGATGAAGTCGGATTTCAACGATAAGGCCGCCCATTGTTGCCACTTTCTCTTGCTCATTGTATGTTTATACATATTTATATATTAGTACATAATAATGTATGTAAATATTTGTTTTATTTTTCTATGAGGAATATATAAAGATTTTTTTTTATTTTATTCGGCATAATTATTTACGACCATCGCCATTTTGTTTTCATTTTGTTTATGACTATGGTAATATCCTATTCATAGCTAATGTAAGATATTGAAATATATATCCGTGGGGTCCTAGCGCTATAAGACTTTTCAAAGAAATAACGAAAAGGTCAGTCGACATTACAGAAGACCGAAGAGCTGGCAGCTACCTCGGATAAAGAATTAGTCTAGCTATTCATAGAGGGAACGCTGCCAGTATCTTCGGAACTTTGCCTAAAGGGACCCCTTTTAATAATATATTTTAGTTATTGTATTATATTTTTTAAACTTTTTAATTTTAGGTTGTAGTTGTATAATTAAGTTATGTAATTGATGTAATTAGTTAATAACTCAAGTAATTTTATAATACAATTTTTTGTTGTGTTAATTGTTTTTTTATTAATAAATTTCGCATGTTTATTTTAATCAACTACCACATTCGTGACAGATATTGAAATACAGGTTCTTCATGTCTTCTATAACGAGCTGTAATTTATCTGCCCATCTACTGAATCCCTTAGATAAATAGATAGATAAATCGTTTATTTAATTGTTATCTGTAATTATAATAACCCTGGACAATCCACACAGGATCCCCAAGCTCCTTTTGTAAGTACATAATATATAGAATATACCCAGAACAACACAAATAATAATTTTCGTGAATACAAATGTTTGCACTGTGCGAGGAATCGAACTGGCGACCATCAGAATTTGATTTTGGAAAAAGTGACAAATAGATAATTATAATGAAAAAATATTTCTTTTAATTATGTTTTTTTTTCTTTTGTGAGAAATCTTTACCCTAAGTATTACGTAAGCACTATCAGGGGAGGGTTACTTTGCTTATTTTAGATAACATGGGGGGTAGGGGAGTCTATATGATGACTAGACTAGACGTCATCGGTAGTTATTTACTTTTTTACGTGAATGGCAACATTCACATAGTCTTTGCTAAAAAAAAACATATATTAATTGAAAAATGTGTACGTAAGCATGAGAAGAGGGGGTAAGAGCTTTGCTTACTTTTTCTGACAAGGGGGATGAGGGGGTAAATAATTGTAATAGGTAAAGCACACTTATTACGTAATACTTGAACGGCCCCTTCGAGAAAGGTAAACATTTCTCACAAAATAAAAAAAAATTACATATAATTAAAAATAATATTTATTCATCACAATTTGTTTTCAACATCAAATTTATTCATCACAATTTGTTTTCAACATCAAATTTATTCATCACGATTAATATAGTTTGAAATTAATATTAACCTCAAAAACTATCCATTCCCAAAGATTAGGTACACTGTGCTGATTGCTCGATTGTAGATTATACCAATATTTGCCACGAATCCTTATCGATGTGTCACGAAATAAGTGATTGAATTGAAAATGTACCGATAACAACCACTAACAGGTCAATGTCAGTACATACAGCATGTGTTTATGAAATTATACATTACCAGCTGTGAATACAACTTCGTAAGCAAATTACGCTCAAAATTAATCATTACATACTATAAAACAAAGTCGCTGTCGCTGTCTGTCCGTCCCTATGTATGCTTAAATCTTTAAAATTACGCAACGGATTTTGAATCGGTTTTTTTTAATAGATAGAGCGATTCAAGAGGAAGGTTTATATGTATAATATGTGTACACCCGTGCGAAGCCGGGGTGAGTAGTTAGTTAAATATAAAACTTTTTTTGTAAACATTTTGCAACAAAACAAACATTATAGTTAGTTAGTAGTACCGGGTAATTTGCACGCTTTTAGAAATAACAACCAAAATCAAATTCTTAAAATTACGTAAAATGTTGCCTCGGTAAGTATATTGCAAAAATTGATTTTTTTTAGGGATATATAATAAAAAAACCGTGGACAATTAAGGACAAATAAAAAAGGACACATTGCCATCTAGTCCCAAGCTAAGCAGAGCTTGTGTTATAGGTACTAGAGAATTGATATAAATATATAGATACAGTTTTTTTGTAATGAAATTTATTTATTCCATCCATTACTAATATTCATAATTTTTTTAATAACATACATATATAAATAAATAATGTTGATTTTTACAGGTGAAGTATTTTTTAGGTTTCATTACAAACAAACATCAAGACATACTTTTTATGATATTATTTATTATAGATATGATATGATAATACCGTTTAATCCCTATTTTTTATATTGTTAGGTACTTTTCAAAGTGTAGGTCGTACAATGATTGTGATAACAGGTCAGTGAACCCGCCGCGGTGAAATATTTAATCATTTTATTGTAAGGACTATCAACGTAATAAAGCCACATGTGAACAATGAATATAGAAATACAATGTACAAACCACAAAAACACTGTTTTATGACTCACTAGCTACTCACCCCGGCTTTGCACGGGTGTACACCTATATAAACCTTCTATAAACCTTCCTGTTTAATCACTCTATCTATTAAAAAAACCGCATCAAAATCCGTTGCGTAGTTTTAAAGATTGAAGCATACATAGGGACGGACAGACAGCGATAGTGACTTTGTTTTATACTATGTAATGATTTTACCAACGGCGGATCGAAAGTACGATGGCCTAAGCCGAGGTTCGAACCCCTAGCGGTGCCCTCAGACTAAAGTCGTATCCGTCAGGCGGGAGTTGGCCTTCAGCCGCTCCATAAGTCCTTCCTGGTTTGGAGTGCCATCTGCACTCGCCCCCTAACGTCTGGTGAAGCTGTAAAGGCCAGCTGCGGCCAACAGTATTAGAGTAGTCCGAAAAAACTGCATATAGTATATGGTAGACAAGATTTCTCATCACTATACCTACAGTTAATTCAGCTAGTTTATAAATAAATTAATTACCAGCGAGGAACTTACCTATTTTCCAAGCGGATGACGTGGTTGTATTGAAGTAATCTATACATATAAATAAAATTGGAGCGTCTGTTTGTAATATTGAAAAAACCGTTTTTTATTACATGCGTATGAATATAAATACGGTACATACACCAAAATAGCATTTTTTACCATTTTTGTCTGTCTGTCTATTTGTTCCGGATAATCTCTGAAATGACTGGACCGATTTTGACGGGACTTTTATTGGCAGGTAGTTGATGTAATGAGTAACTAAGCCTACTTTTATTTTAGAATAATAAAGTTAAATACCACGCGGACGAAGTCGCGAGTACAGCTAGTCATTATAGTATATATAGTATAGTATAGTATATAT